AATCAAGGCGCTCTCCATATACGCGCCAAACCTAGAATACATCGAGTTTGACCAGGTTCAGCCGTCGCATCCTGACCACATGGCCGAGCTGAAGGTCTTCCTCCCTCGCATGAATACGTTGTCGATCGTTTATTCCAACGTCGACGGCGCATTGTTCCTGCCATATAATCTGAGACACCGCGGAATCCAGATCACCATGTCCTCCGTCCTCGGCCTCGCTGGTGCCGCACAAGTCTCGGATTACGCAGCGTCGAAGGCAGCCCTCATTGCACTGAACGACTCCCTCCGTTACGAACTCGACAAGCACTACGCTGCTCCCGGCGTTCGGACCACTCTCTTCGTCCCCGGTCACATCCTGACCCCGATGTTCTCGCGGGCGAACTATCCGTCGGGAAGGCTATATCAGTTCTTCTTCCCTTCGTTGCATCCGGTCGAGGTCGCCAAGGCTGTCATACGCGCCATTGACGATCAGCACTCTCAAACCGTCTACATGCCGTTCTTCGCAAATTTCGCGCCGTTCTTGCGCTCGTTACCGAGCTTCTTGCGCGACTTTGCGCAATGGGTACGTACAAATTGCGAATCGTAGTCTATGATTCTGATAGCGTCCCCAGGTAACGCATGCGGACTACACCATGAAGGGCTTCGAGAAGGTTTCTGGGCGACGAGCTGATGAGCAGTTAACACCATCATCACCTACTGAGAAGTCGCTTGATTCTAAGGAGAAGTAGAAGATTAAATCTTAGGCTGCTGGCAGTACTAATCTATCGGGATTTATGAAGACTTTCATTTGGGATTAAGTGTGATGAAAGACTTCGCCTTGATATTGGTAGTACAAGAACTTTCGATAAGACAAGGACGAGATCCTATCGTACAAAAATTGTTTATGGATGGATGACCTTCGCGAGGTCTTCGATCAGCGTTTGCATGCGTCTTGCTTCAATCTGCGCCAAAGTCGAGTTCCTGTCGATGGTGATCGCCTCCGTCAGAGCAGGCAACGTCGTCGCACCGTAACCCAACCACTTTCCAGGCGCGACACCCAGATGTCTATACCTGTACGTAGTCGTCACTGTATCATCTGGCGCGCAAGGGAGACGAAGTACTTACCACTCCCGATCCTTGATGCCGTCCGAGGAGATGAGACCTCTCTCGAAAGCAGCCAGCTTGGCGTTCGCTCTCTTGACCCTCTTAGCTGCCTGTCTGAGCTCGCGTTCGATCCTCTTGTCGTGCTTCCCAGGCTTGTGAATATTGGTCTGACAAGTACCTTCACCAGCCTCCTTCCAGATCCATGAAGGGACGAAGTTGGTAATGTCCAACTCCGCGTCCTGCTTGCCGCGCCGATGGCATGGCTTCGCGTGGAACGATTAAGCGAACAGCTGCCAGGAAACTCGCTACGATCGCACCTTTCCGAGCTTGCGTCTGACTTTGCAAATGGCCTTGCGCAGCTTTCTCCGGAGGCGCCACTTGGAGTGCCTTCTCCTCCATTTCTTGAGTGCCTTCAACAGGTGCCATTTAGCATGTACCTTCTCCTTGTCCAGCTTTGCGCTTGAAAGCTGCAGCTCCTCGATAGATTGGCGCAAAGGCGCGAAGTCCACCTCCAAAGAAACAGTAGAGGCAATGGACTCGACCTTTGCCAGGTAACTGCTGAGTTCCAAAGCATAGTGCGTAGTGTTCAACGGCAAGACTATAGAGTCTGATAAGGACAACGTCTGAAGGCCAAAGAACTTGGCAACGGCGGTCTAGACGGCATATTCAGCATGGTGGTAGGCATTGCGACTGGTTGCTTACGTGTCTGAAGAATCCTGGATCCGCGTATATCTCTTGCCATCTCACGGAGTCGTACACCGAGTGGTAGTGGTAGACAGGATCTTGCAAGGTCGCGCCAAATCCACCATTGCTGCTTGCAATCTATGGGGACCCAACGTCAGGATGTGGACACTAGATCTTCGGGTAGTAGACAAACCCCGATTCTTTGGAGGAAAACGGTGAAGTCGGAGCCGCTTCCGAGGGGACCAACGCCAACGCTGTCAGTAGCCGCGGCATGCTGCATTTCGAACATGTCGATGACCTCCTGGCCAACATCTGATGTCGAGCTAGCGTTGCCATACAATGTACCGTGATCATTCCGTGCATCCCACAATGATTTGTTCTCCTTCGTGGGGTGAGGTACCTTTTCGGCGGCCTGGCGCACCATATGAGCCAGAGATGGCGAGGCGCTGGCCCGAAAGCGAGATCCGGACACGGAACCATCTTCGCTCACTGTTAATTATGAACCCACTCGCGTAATTACTCTGAACACTGACCGAGATTCAAGTAGGACACAACGTGCTTGTCAATCCAGTCTGGACGAGGGTTAGTCAGTGAGAAACTCGTGAACCGTGTGCAATATATGCACCTGCGAAGTCTTCTCCCCATTCTGCGAGCAAGAATCGATTTCAGTAAGCGGAAATGCAAATGAGAATAAACGGCGCGCACCGGTACTTCCGATCAGGCCATACTACAGTTGAATATTGGTCATATATCATGGATGCTATGAGCTGGTATATTTACCTCTTCGGCATCCCAGCTAGCGATCACAATCGTGCGAAGTGGCCTCCATCCAGCCTTAAGTAGAACACCGAAACCACGAAGCACCTCGTGCACTGAAGCAGTTCCCGAAGACGGATCCGCAGCCCCCATGACCTGAGTAAGTGGTAGGTGATTGGTACAACACATAGTGTTGCTTCAACTCACCCAAGCTGTTGATTCATGCAGTAAGAAAACGGGATCAAGGAGGCCGGAAGGTTCACTCACCATCACGATGGTTCCCAATGACGACTACTTCATCCCTGATATGGCCGGGGATCACGCCCATGGTATTCCAGATCTTGATGACCCTCTCATCGACTATAGAGAAAGCAACATAAGGCCGAGGAACGTAGAAAAGGCAATGAACGCCCACCATGATTAACCAACTTGATGGTACGGTTGGCACCACCCGCCTCGATCTCTCGAAGGAGAAATTGAGCGTTGGCCCAGCTGATTGGGAGACTAGGTATGGTTGGGATGTTGTCGCCATTTGTACGGGTCGAGTTTTGGTATGCCGGGTATCTGATGTATTTGTAAGACATTGCGCAGACGATTTGCATAGGAAGCCGCATACCCCGGAGTAGTGGGGTCTCCTGGGTAGACCGAGAGGTACTGAACGGATCCTCTTTGCACGGATGTCGGGTTCCTGGCAGGTCCATTCGGATACGGTGTATAGCCGTTCTTCTCGGTAACGGTCCCGTCATCGTTGACGTCGCTGTAAATCAAAACGCCAGCAGCACCACGATCTTCGGCACCCTTGACCTTCAAACCGCGGAAGATGCCTCCGTATCTCGTAATCACGACCTTCCCTGTGAAGTTGACCCCTTCGGCCTCCAACCTATCGTACTCCTCTTTGGTACCGTAACCTGCGTACACGAGTTGCCCTATCGCGGTGCCGTTGCCGCTGAGACCATGAAATGCGGGCACGCTGGTAACGTGCTCCCCGGCCTCGGGATCAGTGAAGTCGGCAACTTCCTCGACATTGGCGGACCAAACAGCCTCTCCGTCATCTCCGAGGATATCCAAGGAACGATCCATTGGGGTGTTCATGACCTGTACGGATGTCAGACTCGGTCACAAGTCCGAATATACATCACATACCGGGTAGTATGTGTCGATCCAAGCTCGGGGAGCGTCGCCGAAGGATTCTGTCGTGATGGACAAAGTAGCATCGCGCGATTCCGGAGATCCCGCCTCCAAAAGAGGCGCTTCGCCCGGTAAGAAGCCTGCGGGCGGGAGAGCACCGAGTTCCTTCTCCAACACAGTATAGAACAGCTTGGCCGTGGTCAGATCGCCATCGGTTCCGGCCATATGCGGCTTGGAAGCAAACAATCGCGAAGCAAGGATTGCACTCTGTTCATTCGGCACTCCACTAGAAATTATTGTATCAACAACAGGTGTGCGGTCATACACATGACAGTGACTTACAGGAAGACCTTCTCGATCTGCTCATGGGACAACCACCTGCCCGACCTATGTGGATGAGCAGCAGATTCGGACCATTTGTCGTCCTGAGAAGCCCATGACCGGGCATGTAGGCCACGGAGGGAGACTGTCCAGAGCGAGTATATGAGGGCAATACCACATGCTGCAAGCAGTCGCTTCTGGGACGTTGTTCGGCCGGTTTTCGGAGCGACGGTGCATGCTTCGACGTCGTGAACCTCAAGCTTTGCAGGAGCAACGCCGTGCTCTGCCTCGGGCGCCGTAAGGGGCACCCGGGAATGCTCGTTGAAACCCATGGCGGCGATGGGGGGAAGAGCCAAGGTGTGTGAAGGGTTTATTTATACCTGTGCCATTGCGAGGCTTGCTCCAAGAATGGGCACAAGTCGGCCATGAGATGCTCATGGCGGAGGCCGGTCATCGCCACCCACGTTCGCCGATGCACCGTGGTCAACCGTCACACCATGACGCACTGCATCGTCCGACCCGGGAGTCAGCTGGTTGCAGACGACCAACATGCTCGTACCATCCGTCCTTAGGCCGTCGGCGCGTTGGGCAACGCCTGCCCTCGTCGCATACCGTTCTTTGTCCACCACGGCGACACGCCAAGCGCCGCTCACTATTAAGAAAGAGTTGGTGCGCGAAGAACAGTCTATCTCGAGACCTACGTCGCGCTTATCGTGGTTGAACGCCTTCAGTACACCGCGAAAGCTACTGCTACGGGCGCAGGAAGGAACGGCACTGTCAAGTCAGAAGACAATGGCGAGGCTCCTCTCTCATTGAAGCTCTCTACTCCGAAACCCATGGGTGGTCAGGGTGACGGTCAGAATCCCGAGCAGTTGTTTGCCATGGGATACGCTTGTAAGCACCTGCGCAGACATGTGGAGTGTAATCTGATGTCTGGCGTGAAAGCGTGCTTCCTCGGCGCTCTTCAGCTCACGGCCAAGAACGCTGGTAGGCATTGATTTGACCCGCGCGCGACCACGAATGCAGACCCTGACCCTTCTTGGTACAGGCAAGGCCGACATAGCGGCTAATGCAAAGATCCATACCAGCGTCTCCATTGGACCTCCCGAGCAACCGCCGTTGCCCGGCTTCGGCCTGCGAGTGACAATCGAGGTCGAGGGCGTCGATGACGACAAAATCATTGGCGATACTCACGAGGTGCTTTTCATTCGAACGTCTGATTGTTTGCCCAACTGACGCATTTTCCAGTTCTGCCCGTACAGTCGGTTGATTAAGCATGGTGCTCAGGTGACGGTGAAGAAAATCTGAGCCTCAACATGCGAGATCCCTCGCTCTCTGATAAGCGTGTACAGTACACCTGCGCACTGGAAATAAGAATGAACGCCGCATGTATGCACCCAGGCGCACAAGAAATGTCTTTGGCTCTTTCCCGACAGCCTGTGTGGAAATGCACATCAGCTGAATCTAGACTGGAAATAATCCCAGCGATGATGATGCGCCCGTCTTCGCGGGTATCCATCTCCAATGCGTCCGTCCCCACGAGCTACTGAGCCATGGGACGCACAGGATGCACTGCGAGAAGGCGACAGTAGTCGGGGAGTTGAGCAAAAGGGTAAAACGTCGTCTCCTTGAAGCCAGCTGGGTTTATCATGACTCATGATCCCAAAGAGCACATACGCGTGTCGGAAATGTGTACTGGCTAGCATAGCATCCACCATACGACTGGCGAGGAGCGCTCTCGGGAAAGCCAGTGCTCATAGTAGGTAGCAAATGTGATGTCAACAAAGCGAGTATACATAGCTTCTGCAGTACAGTAGCTGTACTGGTATCGATGCAGATGCACCAGCTGAATACCGTGCTTTGCGGCGCTCGATACGGAGAAACGCTCAACGTATTCCTCGATCATTCTCGTTGCTGCGAGGACGGCACGATAGCGGTACCGTGGGCAGTTGACCCACTACGTCAGGTCTCAAACGTGGAAGGTGTGGCATAGCCCCGGGCTAAGAACAAGAACCCCTTGGGCGATTTCCAAGGTTTCCTTGACATCTGGCTACGGCTATAATGGCTTCGCGCAGCACAGCAGACACTTTATCTTCACCCCTGGAGAGCTCGAGATTACGCGCGCCCGTGCTCGGATCCCCCATTTTTTGGCGCCCTCTCCTTCACCTTCTCGGGCTAGTCCCCATTGTGATATGCTGGACGTTCAACTTTTGGACCCTGCTTGCAGGCTTGGAATGGACGCTGTGCAGTCATGTTACATACGCGTTTTGTCAGATGAGGCCACGGACTGCTATCGCGTCGACGAGCTATTGAAAGAAGCGCAGGTGCCTGGCGCGTCTAATGCTTCGGTCATATCTCTCGACAGCTTGTGTACTGCAGCAAGGCAAACAGCAACGCGCCGTGCACCACAAGCTGATACGCTCAGACGCGTACTGAACGGTGCAAGCAAGAGGCGCGCCGAAACGGCTTCCAAACCTGTACGTGGCCCGCATTCTACCGGTGGCCCGTTCATTGAACCAAAAACAAAGGGCCGTGTCCAGAATTCCGGACACTCTCTTAACCCTGCTTTCTACCCTTCTGTGAGAGGTTCATCGCCCCTTTACTCTCCATTCAGCACCTGAATGCCCCAGCAGAACTCTGCAACAGCCACCCTGCTCACTAACATGCCTGCCACACTGACCGGTATCGACGTTACGCCTTCCGGCCATGCCATTGCACGACTTAAAGAAGAAGTAAGTGTTCTCATTGAACGATCTAATGCTACATCACTCTAATCACTATTGTGAATAGCTGCACTTTCTTCGCCTCTGTCGAACGCGCCGTAACTTGGTCCTCGACTCGATTTGTCCGGAGCTGGCGCCTCACATCGTGATCACTCCCCCGGACTCGTGTGCCGCAGAGCACTACTACACATGCACCAGCAATGCTGTTCAGGTATTGTCTAATCCAAGGGACCACCTGTGTGCCATGCCGCAGGACATTGGAGTAGAGCGCATGCCACCTCCGTGTTCCTCAGATGAAACTTCATCACCCGTAATTGAGAAGGACATGCACGTTACGGTCACCAGTCAAGATCGTCGCGTGCGGAGGCGATGTCAACCATGCAACCCCTTGCTAACGTTTGGCAGCCTATCTTTGATGGTGAGCAGTCTTACAAATGTTCGCCGTGTCAAAATGCGTCCACGCTGATGCACGCGTACAGGATACTGCTGACGACCAGAAATCCCCCGAAGCAATGCTTCTAGGCATTTGCGTAAGTCTCGTTGCTGGTTCAGATTTCATTGCTCTTTTTTATCTTGCTGTTTCCAGGCCTTACAAGCGAGTGCCATAGCGTGTTCACGCCGATCACGCTATACTTCAGCCAGTTTCCCTTGGCCAGATAAACCCTTCCGGTGGTTAGACCCCGCAGCTCCCCTACTACTCAGCGCGAGTCGAACACTTGGTACCGTTATCATCGACTCCGCCAAGCCCTTCGGAGCGCCCCACATCATCATCCAGGAGCCTCCTCCATGGGACGAGAATCCTTGGGTTCCGTATGGGAACAGCGTACCCAACCCTCAGGACGCTGCTTTCGGGCGATTGCTTACGGTCCCCGGCTGGCGTCTCCCTGTGATCAATCCAGCTCCATGGGTCTTCGAAGACGAGCGAATAGACTGCACCACCATATCCTCCTGGATTGAAGAGCCGGACATTGCCCCAAGCTCGTGTGATTCTTCCCCAATCGTGTCCACCGTACCCTTGCTCTGCGAGGACGGCTGGTACTATGATCCTTTGGACGCGCAGACCACGACCCCTCTTACGTTTGACGACCCTGACGAGAGCGCGACTCTCGAAGACATCACTCCGATGTTATCGCCGACCTCGGCTACGAGCACTGAAAACTGGTGTCCAGACCTGGAAATCTTCCCTTGGGACGACGAAGCATTCCCGGATCTGGGTCGCTTATCTTGCGACGAGGCCGGCAACTCTTTGAGTATGGGTTTGCACTGCGGAGACAGACTACTTTGCGACAGTCGCGGGGTTTTGAATGACGCTAAGGCGGAGTCCTTCTCTCCTGTTTCGGACTCCGGTTTGAGGGCTATCATAGTTGAGTCGTGACTGCGATTGTGTTCTGGGACTGGGGTGTATGGGTACATTCACGGACACCGAACGATCATTGGACGATCAACGTTGTTTGGCATAAACAGAGGACATTCCACTTTCGCGCATGCTTGCATTCGTTTCCATTACTGTCATTGTACCATAGCAATGATGAACCCATGTAGGGTATCTGCAATCAACTCTGCCGACTTTGCAGGGATGTAAAGAGAGTATCGGTAGGATGTCCTCATTCCTGCCTGAGGCACGACCTACATAGTCGACTCTCACGCTTTTGGCGGGGAGAACCAGGGAGAACCAGACTCTTTCTGACTCTTCTGCGCTGCCGACCGGGCGAACACCGAGCTGATGACTCCAATAAGAGATGCAAGACTTCCTCGGGGTAGGGGAGTACATAAGTGCTCTCAAGCGCAGAGCTCCGATATCGTCAGCCAACATACGGTTACCCGCTACTCAACGTAACGATACCGGGCCCCTCACTCGTTTGCTGCCACCCCTGCCACCGCATCGAGATCATGGACGGCGACATATCATACCATCGTCCCACTGGACTCCATGAAATCCTCCTCCACGAACTCGACCTTCGATCAGATGCCGACGTCGACTTCGCCCTCTGCAACCCAAACCCCGTAACCGACGACAAAAATATTTGGTTTTTCTGGCACGCCGGCTACGAGACGATGCATTCATACACAAAGCGCGACGTTCGCGGCTGGCACCGCCGTTTCTCAAAACGAGGCTGGACGATCCGGGTCCTCAATACCCAGTCCAATCGCAACTCCCCGCTTCACCTCTCCAAATACCTAGATACAGATGACCCTGCCACATTCCCGCAAGCCTTCATTGACGGCAAGATCACTGGACATCACGCATTGCAACATACCTCCGATCTGGTCCGCTTCCCCCTCCTTCTCAAGTACGGCGGTGTCTATGCAGACGTCGGGATGATCCAGATTGGGAACCTGGATCGCCTATGGAATGAGACGATAGCTAATCCGGCATCTCCCTACGAGGTTCTCTCGTATAACTTCGCTGATGTCGGGTTGGCGAACTACTTCCTCGCCGCACGCAAGGACAACCCTTTTTTCCGGCGTTGTCATCGACTCTTCCTGAAAATATGGGAAGGTCGGACAAGCACGACGGGGATGTCGGAAAGTCCATTGCTCAAGGGCGTGCCCATGTTGCAATCTCCCAAAGGATTCGAAGAAGACGGCGTATTCTACTCTGTTGAGGAGGCTAGCCGGATTTTATCGGACTATATCATCCAAGGCCAGGTTATCACCATGGTCATGGGTCTCCTCGACGAGGAAGGGGATGGAGAAGATGACGGTGCTTGGGACGGACCGGCGTACGTATCTGCTCGCATTTACGCCATCGACTACATGGTCGGGTCTCAGTTGATCAACCTGATGACGGATTGGGACGGAGAACGGGCATTTGCGTTGATGTCGCTCTCGCTACCGACGGAGGGGGAGGCGGAGTCAGCGGACCAGGCCAAAGCGCGAGAGATCGTCGAGGCGTGTTTGACGAAGAGCTTCGGGTTCAAATTGGCGCATGGGCTTATCCTGCGGGTATTAGGGGAGACGCTGGGCTCGCTGTGGAGGAAGCATGAGGGATCGGATGCGGTTCCCCATACTTACGCGCATTGGCTGAGGTACGGTGTTGTTCATTGGGATCAAGCCCAGCTGCCGCCACCGAAGCCGTACAAGACCGGTACGGTGTATAAGAAGGGGCCTCTCCTGAGGGAGGAATAGATATCGCTTAGTCACGTTCATTAGACTCCGAGAATACTTGTCCTCCAAAAAGAAGTGCGGCGGGAGCGTGAACTGGTATTTATCGTCATCAGCCCGACTTTGAGCACATCTTTGTTGCATCTTCCATATCCGTACACCTCCATGCGCAAACCGGACAGCAAGTGCTGAATGCGGAATGCCGGTGAGATACCCATTGTATGCTGCGGGATTCTCGAGGTCACTCCCTTCAGTTCGGTGGTATTCCCTGAGGGTCATCTTGTCGCCCTTTATCTGCGTGTCGCCTGCAAAGATGAGCCTCGTGACGGCCGATATCTGCTGGCGAAGGGTTACGGGCAAGTCATTGGCATATAGGCGCTGGAAGTACTGCAAGAACTGGTATCGACGGCAGATCGCCTGAATCACTGTCAATGTCACTGCTTCTGTCGCGCTTCGCGTGTATGTACGTCATCGGCAGACGAAAGAGGACCTGACGCGTCCGAAATCCGGGGCCAAACTCCAGAATCCAGATGGCGTCCCGGGGTATCTCCACAGATATCGATCTCTTCCTCGACCACCATGCCACCCACGACTGCAGGCAGAACAATCGACAAAGAGACTATCCTTTCGGTAGACCCTTACCTCGTTGACAACGTTACGGCCATCCAGCAGCGCTACGAAAGATTCGTAAAGTGGAAGGACACTATTGACGAATACGAGGGAGGGTATGATCAGTTCACCAAGGGATACCTGAAGTTTGGGTTCAATGTCGCTGAGGATGGCACGGTTACGTACCGCGAATGGGCACCGGACGCCATCGAGGCGGTCCTCATCGGTGACTTCAGTAAGTAGACTGTTCATTCGTTGAAAAATGTTCTCCCTTCTCCAGGCCTCGCAAAGCGGATGGATGTTATTCATAGCTACCCTTTTCGCACGTTATACGGAAGACTGACTAACGGGGGTTTAATAGATGATTGGAATAGGCTGTCGCACAAGATGACCAAAGACCAGTATGGTGTCTGGGAGATTATCGTTCCTCCTAAGGCTCCTGGAGTCTGTGCTATCCCGCACGACTCAAAAGTGAAGGTACGTCCGTTGTGGTTCTGTTACTTTTGATTGCTCACGAACGTTCAGATATCGATGATTGCTTCTGACCACCGCAGAATTGAACGGATTCCTGCTTGGATCAAGCGCGTAACCCAGGATCTGGCAATCTCGCCTGTCTACGAGTCCCACTTCTGGAACCCTCCAGCACACGAGCGTTACACCTTCAAACATCCTCGTCCCCCTGCTCCCAAGGCGGCTCGTATTTACGAAGCTCACGTTGGCATCTCCACAAGCGAGCTGCGAGTTGGCACCTACAAGGAGTTCACCGGACATATGCTCAAACGCATTAAGGATTTGGGATATAACACCATTCAACTCATGGCTGTCATGGAGCATGCGTACTATGCATGTAAGATCCTTCCTCGCCTTGCCCGTTGAACGCTTCTCTGACACCATTTCAGCGTTCGGCTACCAGGTTACTAGTTTCTTCGCAGCCAGCTCCAGGTACGGCACTCCAGAGGAGCTCAAAGAACTCGTGGACACTGCGCATGGTATGGGCCTCACGGTTTTACTCGATATCGTGCATTCGCACGCGTCCAAGAATGTCCTGGATGGCCTGAACCTCTTTGACGGTTCAGACCACCAGTATTTCCACGAGGGTGCTAGGGGTCGGCACGAGCTCTGGGACTCTCGTTTGTTCAATTATGGCCATCACGAAGTACTCCGCTTCCTCCTCAGCAACCTCCGATTCTGGATGGAAGAGTACCACTTCGACGGCTTCAGGTTCGATGGCGTCACGAGCATGATGTATCTCCATCACGGTATGGGTGTCGGGTTCAGCGGAGGCTACCATGAATACTTTGGCCCTGATGTGGACGTGGAGGCGGTGGTGTATCTCATGCTGGTGCGTTGCCCACCGTTTAATGTGGGCTCACTTTAACTTCTCGGGCAGGCCAACGACGCGATTCATAGCCTCTTTCCAGAGGCTATCACCATCGCAGAAGATGTGTCAGGAATGCCACTGCTTTGCATCGGAGTTTCAAGAGGTGGCGTTGGATTCGATTACCGCTTGAGCATGGCTATACCGGACATGTGGATCAAGTTACTCAAGCACAAGCAGGACGATGAATGGAATATAGGCAGCATCGTTCACACCTTGACGAACAGACGTCACGGGGAGAAGAGTATCGCCTATGCGGAGAGCCATGATCAGGCCTTGGTAGGAGACAAGACCCTCGCCTTCTGGTTGATGGACAAAGAGATGTGTACGCCTATATTCCCCGCCTCAGCCATGGGTCTCTGACTGTCATGCCTGGTCTAGATACCAACATGTCCGACTTGACTGAGATGACACCGGTCATTGCGAGAGGTCTCGCCCTACACAAGATGATCCGGTAAGCCCAAGTGTGCGTGATATAACATGCGTCTCTGACACCACTCAGTCTCCTTGTGCACTCGCTTGGAGGAGAGGGTTACCTCAATTTTGAAGGCAACGAATTTGGTCATCCGGAGGTGCGCTAATCTACCCGCTATTCTTCGAATGATCACCGATTGCGCGCAGTGGCTTGACTTTCCTCGTGAAGGGAACGGAAACTCTTTCCATTATGCAAGGCGCCAATGGAATGTCGTGGACGACCAACTCTTGCGCTATAGGTATCTCAACAATTTCGACGCTGCTATGAATCATCTCGAGGAGCAATATGGCTGGCTCAGCGCGCCACAGGTTGATATTGTTCCTGTTCATGCACATCGAATCACTGAACCCACCTACCTCTGTAGGCGTACGTGTCCCTCAAGCACGAGGGGGATAAGATGATCGTGTTTGAACGTGCTGGTCTCCTCTTCGTCTTCAACTTCCATCCTACCAACTCCTTCACGGACTACAGAGTCGGCGTCGGTGAGTCTAGTATCACTGTTCTCTCGCTCCGATGAAATATTCAACGATATGCAGAAGAAGCTGGCGAATATCGCGTTGTTCTTTCTTCTGACGATAAGAAATTCGGAGGATGGGAGAACATTGATACTAAGCTCACGCATGTCACGAGTCCTCTGAGCTGGAACGGCAGGAAGAACTATCTTCAGGTATGTTATCCGATGTCGCGCTTGTTCAATGCATGAGCATACGCCCATAGGTTTACTCGCCAAGCCGAACTGCTATGATTCTGGCAAAATCCTAATGGTTTTACAATCAATGATGGATACGCGAAACGGGATTATTCACACATGTATAGTATGCTCAGCGATGCGGCGGATACATAATCTCTCGGTGCATGCAGTACTTGCCCCCAAAAGCGAGTGGCCGGTCCATGGCCTCATTGTCATGCATATGAATAATCGTACACGGTGGGGTCTTTCGCAATCCATATTCAATCCTTTGCAACTCTGATTACCAACTTGGCTGTGTTCCCTCCCGTCTGAACCTGTCATACGCAACCGCCGCGTCAGTATTGGCTGATGGACAGTGAAAATCATGCCTACATCATATATGCCTTGACCAGTGGTATGTAATCCCTCACGGATATCCTCGGTATATTTTATCTTCCCGCCTCCGATCAAGCCAGGAACTACGTCGTGATAGAATTCCTCGTGATATTTCTCTTCGAGGTCCCCTACGAGTAGACCAAAGATGCGCAACCTCTTGGCTATGATTTGGAAAAGGTTCTGTGAAAAGGTTGTTAATGGGTCATGAAACCATTATGCTGCGTCGAGGGTCACCTTCACTGGATACGATTCCCCGTTATACGCGGAGATCATCCCGCATTCCTGTCGCACTGTAAGCTACCAGCAAGGAATCATTGATACCACTCATTCACGTACAATAAAGGTGGCATTCAGGGCTGCGGCCTCAAAAGCGGCTTCCAGTGTCTCGCCTCCTACATTGTCCCAGTAACTGACAACGTGTAAGGCGGGTGGATGAGAGGACGAGGACTATACCCACAGGTTGATGGGACCTTCCTTGGTCAAAACATCCTTCGTGGAGGTAGTCTTATAGTTGAACGCGACGTCTATGTCGTGAGGACGCAATCAGCGGTTTATCGGTTGCGGAACGCTCCGAGGAGACTTACCGACTCCAATCTCCTTCAGGAAGTTGACTTTCTCGTCCGATCCAGCAGAAGCAATAACCTTTAATCCGTCGAGTTTTGCGAGCTGCGCAACGAAGGAACCAACGGGGCCTGCGTGTGCATGTGCTCAATTCAAGCGAAAGGTTTGTAAGCTACAATGGGCTGATTACCTGCACCTCCAGATACAAATGCAACATCACCCTGGAGAAATGGATGTTGAGGATGCGAAGAAGAGCGACACGGTATTAAATACCTTCTTCGGCGTGTAAAATTCCTTGTACCCGTAGTACTAGATTCTTTTCTTAATTTATAGTCAATGGAATTTGATGTAAGTAGCGCTTACCGCAGTCTTACCGGGCATTCCAGCAACGCCGACGAAGGCGGACCAAGAGACTTCACCCTTGATCTTCTTGAAGGACGAAGCATCATTCCGAACGATGTATTCCTCAAATGCTGCAAAAAATCTCCCATCAACGACGCGGATATACCCACACCACACAGTTGCACTCACTGTAGAAGCCATACAAGTGATCGCCCACCTGCACTTCAGGGTTCTCTGAGCGCACTACTACACCGACCCCGAAGTTGGAGATGCTATGTCGGACGATGTCAGAATAATCCTGTGCCTCCGTGACATCGCCGCTTACGGTTCCCCGATGCGGAAAGCCGGCTGACGAGATCAAAAGATCGGAAACGAAGTCAAATGTATGTTTAAATGTGGGAAACGTACAGAGTAGCTTTCTTTGGACGCATCGCGCATCTGTACTGCGGGTTAACCCTGGATCACATTTTATGATGACAATGATTTACCCTGCCGCGCAAGTATGGATCGATGGAAAGAACGAGCGTCTTTAAGATGAAAGCACCCTTTTCAAGAGGAAGGCCATCAACGTCGATAACTTGGCTTTCATCGTAGGCTACGGTCTTTTCTGGATCGGGGTACCCTATCCACAACAATGGTGAGTTCCACCCAGGATGGGATTCGCCAGAGCAACAAGGACGCACCGGTAGGGATCTCGTTGAAAAGCACGCGTCGATTGGTGATAGGAGCCATGATACCCAAAAATCAACGCTCTGGCGAGTGGCATCTTGGAAGCCTGTATATATACGAACCCCAGGCCTGTTATAGGCTGAATCAGCATGACGATGGCGTGTACGCAGACGGGGTATTATTAATGGCGAACATCCGATCCGGTAGGTAGGTAGGTATATTGCCGGGACTCACGAATTTTCCGGCATCTTATACATAGGTGTTGGCACATGATTTAGCCGACAACCGCGATAATGCCATATACAGATTAGGGCTCTCATGAAGACTCTGCTACAGTAATTTCAGGACACCAGCAGCTGCGAGGCGGATGTAATAAATGCATGTAACCCCATGCGCCTACTACAATGGTGTCAGCATATCACTATGACAATTGAGCCCTGGACGATGAGCTAAATATATCGAGTTCTCCCGGTATGGACACCAGTCATGAATCTTCTTGTGTTTTGGACGAGATCAGCTTCCGCTACCGCTAGGTTGTATGCCGTACAGCGTTATGCGGGCATCAGTACACTTCCCAGAATATGTCTGGTAAAACGTCTCTCATCACTGGTTTATATGAATTATGTTGAGTTCTTCGCAATGCAGTGGATGACCCACCTCTCCAGTGATTTATGCCCTCCTCATCTTGCCATTTACCCAGAGGATTATTATTATCCGTCAAAACCCAGTGGGTCTCTTCTTCACCAATGGGGCCCACTGCGCTATCGCGTATCAGGGAAGGATCGATCTCGTGTTTGGTGAAGAACGTCAAGATGTGCTGCCGTAAATATGAATTCAGAAAGTCGGAATGTACTGCTTCACGGAACGATAAATTCGACGAAAGCGTGCAGAAAAGAACCTGCGTATAATTTCAGTCCGACCTCCAAGATATATGAAGCTAGAAGGGGGCACACCATGTTCAGGAACTCTTCTTTCATTTGCTGGGGAGTTAATTCCTCCTGTCGGTCGTGGAATATCCGACAGTGCCCGAACGCCTGTTCCAGGGTGATGAGGACCGCTCGCGCGGGATTCGAGTCAATCACTCCCGCAAAATTCTGCATGCGATGCCATGAGAATGATTCGCATATCCTTCGGAGAGACTTACCACGGCCAGGACACCCTCAGGATTCATAATGGCCTTTAGGTCTTCCCAGAACTCGATAGTGAAGATATGCGCGGGGACACCACCTCCGGAGAAGCAATCATGTACGATGATGTCGAAGGACTCGCCTCGAGGGGCGCCGAGGGCGTCCTCGAGTTCGGATTTGCTCTTCGTTCTTGACACCCAAGATCGCGCGTCCTCCAAAAATACATTGCCAGAGCCTGGATCAACGAGACCGAAATAATCTCGAGCAGCTTCGTACACTGCCGGGTCAATTTCGACAACAGTGGTAGCGATTCCATGGCGTTGGAAGGCGGAAGCCGAAACTCCGATCCCGAGACCGCTACGTTATCAACCGGTTAGCACGGCGAGTTGACAGGAAGTGTTTTGCTGTACATGACCAGGGCGTTCTTCCAGGCACCGGCTTGGCCAATTTCCGTGCTATTGACAAGTCTGGCGGCCTCTTGCAACACGAATGTAGAATATATCGAATCGCCTAAAGGGATCAAGTCTTCGTCCCTGACAATGGCCGACTGATCACCAAGTGTAGCAACCCGTTCGCCGATCCATACTCCACCTAGGATACTATGATCCGCACGCAGGTAACGGAGTGAGTGTAGGTAATTTGGTCCTAGCTCTTGGAGCTTAGCATCTGATGGCCTCATTGCTTCACCGACCACAATTTGTCCGGTCACAGAATGGGTAGAAGACAGAATTCGTACAACGGGGTCGTGGGCTGGGTAGAGGTAGGGCTCTTCCAGTGGCGTCCGCAAAGTCGGTTTGTACTCCCAAGCGAGGCGGGGGATGGCCGAAGCAATCAATAAGAGACCGATAGTACGATGCAGCAAAGTTCGTGGTTCGATTTCATCAGGAGCCCGTCGCTTTGGTCCCGTAGAAGCAACCGACGGGGGAATAAGGGCCCATGAAGTAAGTGCGACACTCCCCAGAAACAAGAGCTACCACGCCGTCAGCGAAGCACACATACAGCGAGGCACAGACTGACAATGTTGTCATTGACCGTTTTTGGTAGCGCGATCAAACCCCAGACGTCCGCTCGGTCAAGGATCATCAGGCAGGGCATTGTGAGAGCGCCTATGACAGGAGCCAACGCGGGACGGACGGGTGGTGCCTGAATACTGTTAATGACCGACGATGCAGCCCACTAGAGGAACGCACCATGATAGCAGAGAAGAGATACATCAGGGGAGGAACACACAGAGCATGTGTGGCGAATGGCCCCTTGACTGGGTCGTGCCATCGGCTACTATAAACAGCCGTCCGGTACAATAAGTGGGGCAGAACACATAACACAACGCCGAGTGCGAGTACCGCTCCACGTTTAGAGTATCGCGGAGCAAAGAGAGAGAGCGCGAGGCTCCCATAGACGATATGAGGGAGATACAACTCAGTTGGAACATTAGCATACAAGGGATGGAGTGACTGCCTGTAACCGCGCAAAGCAAGAGATGCCGCGGCCAGCGTGGCTATCGTCGTGAGCGCAAACTGCAACGCGTTAACAGCCATTCAGCTCCAGTATGGCTAGCGAGCCAGCTCGTGATCCCTACGACGTTTCGGTACGGGAAGTAGTGAGGTTGTCCAAGCGAGGGGGCAATGTCGACGTTGACCGCGGACAGCTGTTGATCCTTGCGCACAGCCATCGGGAAAGGTCGCATATCAAGAACGCCAACTCGGTGTAATGTAGGTAGGATGATCTATTGCTCCATATTCAATCCCTGCGGTACTATACGTGTTGTCGCTGAGGGCTGTCCGGGGTACGTGCTACGTCCAAGCAGCCAATGGAAACCAGTGGTGTACAAATAATCCTCGTTTCATCACGGTAAGGGATGCACACCCCATCCATTGAGAATGAAAAACATCCTAAAGTTCCCTTCGATGACCGATATGACAGACGTTTCTGGGGCAGTAATGCTCACCATTTCAACCTATCGGGTCTGAAGAGGTGGAAAAGCACGAGCCAGATTGCTATGATCACGCGGTTGGTTCTATGTCGGGCACCAGTGGTAAAACGACGTTGACACTTACTAAGCTCCATGTACGTGAAGAAGGAGAGTGCGCCACCTGCAGCGCCTCTCTTCACGAAGCGGATAACATCTACCCAGAGCTTCATGTCTTTTGGCGTCGGTCGTGCGTCTTTATCCATGAGCAGAGTGAGAAGGATCCGAGTATCTGTAGATTGACACAACGGCTAAGAATTTCTTCCAGGCGTTCTTGCACAGAACCTACATATTCCTATGTGACTATGCGCACACACTGTCAGAAGGATGCCCATTCTATAATATTGTTTACTCACAAATGTCCAACAGTGCCTACGGAAGTCGATCAGAATCACTGACAGTCATTTCGTTGCCTTGCGCTGCTTACCTATGGCATTAACGTAAGAGCTATTCGTCATCAGTACAGACCAGTCCTCTGTCTATCGAACTGATGTCAACATTGTCGTACTACGGACGAGTGACATACGCTGAAATTTTGCAGGTACAGGTTGGGCCGCTAAACATTACGATGTTCAGTTTTGACGATATAGCGTCAAGGATTGCTTCCTCCACATACTTCGTATCCTTCTGGGAAGAGGTCGCTTGGCAGGAAGTCAACATCGGGTTTCTTGAACCCGGTAGCGAGGACGACGAGGTCCGCGTCGATGACCTTCTCTTCGCCTGGATCATTGGGCTTCGACTGGCGACCACGAACATTCACCAAAACACCAGACGAAGTGAGACGCTTGGTGTCTCCTCGGATATAGTCACAGCGACCTTGACGGACGTGATCCAAGAATTCATCGTTCACAATTGGGGTGCCTTCGTATATGCCACGGTGCGCGGGTGACAAATCTTCGACGCCGTAGTAATGCCATTTGCGTAGGAAGGTCTCCCATAATATACTGAGGGGCATCTCTCGGCCAAACGGTTGCGCTGAGATGGACGTATCGACGACGATATTCCTCGGGATGATCCACTGGAATGGACATCACCAAGCGACAACGAAACAGAGTTAGGCACTAACCTTATCATCACGAGCCACGATGACCGCGTGTTTCGCTGCTTTAGACAGGGCGGTCTCTACAGCCTCCACGCCGCTCGCCCCCGATCCGATAACAACCACGTTCTTACCAGACAGCTCGATCTCATCGAGTTCACTAGAATGGATGACAGGGCCACCAAATGTCTCTTCGTGCGACTCTTTCTCGTTGTCCGCACCTTCCGATTTCGGCATCCCGGGAAATCCGACACGCATCGGTTCCCCGCAAGTACCCACAGTGACTATGACTGCGTCGAAGGGCCCATCTGAACCGTCATTGATGAGCCAACGTGCATGTCCAAGTTTCTGGGGGTCAGCATCGTCCTCCGAGACGTTGCATTGCTTCGGTGACGCCCGTTCAATCTTGATAACTTTCGTCTTGTAGACATGTCATCAAGCAGTAGCTCCGACGTCGAATTTGTAAGGCTTACCTTCAACTTTGTCCGCGATTCAAGTTTGTACTCCTTCCAAATACGCTCGATTTCTACAAGGGTCCTGTAAATTCGTGCAAGCTTCAGGGGAGCGAAAGGCGAGTCTTACCCCCAAGAATCTCGTCCCGGTGCGGGAATGATTTCGACCATACTACGGCTGGGTGGAATCGGTAAATTAACGAGTTGAGCTGGAGTCCGGATGTCGAGTTGACGTGCGACCATATGCCACCCACGCGGTCATTAGCTAGGTGCGAATCAATGAGCCAGACACGCGTGCATGAGCCAAAGGAGTACACACAATCGTATATGACCACCTCGAAGCCATGTGCAATCGCATGTCTACACATCGGCTTAGTCTAGTTCAATCCACTGACTGCGAGGCTTACGCTGCTGAAGAGACGCCGGTGAGTCCTGCCCCAATCACAGCGACTCTTCCTCTGGGATTCGGGAGCGGGTCGGCAGATTTAGGTGGTGTCTAATGGAGTTGACGGTCAGTCATGCACGACTCATCATGTGCCAAAAGCCTACGGGTTTGAAGATCGCAACGATGATCCTCTGTATGAGAATATACCACATATCGAAGAAAACCTCGATTATGCGGAAAGGCGAGAGCAGACGTGCATATCGACCACTCTTCGCATGTCGGCTTGACCGACTGATATTATCCTTCAGGCTTTGGCGAAGTTTCTGTTCCACAACCGCCATGATAGCGATGAAAGGGTTCGAGAGAGGATTCTGAATCTTCAGTGACCTCAAGTACGTTAAGAACCTCCCTACACGTGTTTTTGTACTCCGAGATGATGTCATACTACATATGCTTCGCGTGGGGTTGGAGGCGGAGCATAGCCATCAATCAGGATTCAGCGCGCTGCGACTCGGGCATGGACGTTGGAAGCTTTTGGTTCAACGCAAACCCGCACTGCTGCCATCCGAAACTCCCATATGGCGCGCCGTAGCAAACCTGGGAGTGAGGAAGTTCAGACATGCCGCACGTGTGCAAATGGTAGGGTAGTACGCACCTGGTATACCAGGCAGAGCATGCTGGTGGCTTGTCAGTCCTGCTTGTCTTTGTTCGAAGCTGCTGGAGTGTGTTGGGATGACGGCGCTGTGTTTGTCGGCGGAGTTCGCTTCAGCTCGTGTACGACCCTAGGAAGACACCGTTACTGGCCACTGCCATACGAAAGACCACAGCTTACCATTTCACGCTAGCCCAAAGACAAAGTTCAATCATCATCAAGACAAACAGGTGTATGTTGCCGCGAGTGAGAATGACCAGGGAGCCCAATATCGCTAGGAGGACGGCGAAGGCGACATCCAACACCAGGAGGAAAGTCGGATGAAGCGAGGAACCGGGCTTGAGAATGCCTGAAAGCGAGAAGTCTTCAGGATCTTCCGCAGAACCTGGTGTTTCCATCCCCTTCGTTGGTGCCGAAAGCACTGGTAATGGATGTCAGGTGCGACGCGTATTAGCGCTCGGCAGTCCGATAGTAGCGGACAATCACGCTTTATCACGCTTTTGTAACGTTTTGGCTGGCCTCACTGCCCGGTCACTGTGACGAGGCCCATGCGCAAACACCAACTCCCTCCTTCAGGGGAGTCGGAATCGATTCAACGCTACATGACATGATGTACAATGATGGCAGCTTGTATTTCACCCGTATCTGGCGGCGCCTGCTTCTGAGAACCAATCATCTGTCCGAGCACTCTCCTCCGTTGAAGCGATATTGATGATCGTCGACTTGCTTTGAGAGTCTGTGACGCAATCGCTCGTTGTCAGCTTGAGTAAATGTCTGAGAGGAATATCCATACAAGCATGAAACGCTTCTACACCGTTTTCACGACCGATGCCGCTTTCCTTCATGCCGCCCCTAGCGATTATCTTTGGTCACCGCAAACAAAACATGCACCTAAGAGTAGTTACCATGGAGAGCTAGGATCATTGCGATGATGGGTGTTCACCCAGACGACTCCAGCCTCGATGTCTGCAGCAACGCGGTGTGCGCGGGACAAATCCGATGTCCAGATACCAGCACCGAGACCATATTTCGAATTGTTGGCCAAGGCAATTCCTTCATCCTCGCTCTGGTTGGCGGAAATACATCAGCCTTGCGTGGTCGCCTGGCAGTGTAATAGATAAGTCACCCCGAACCGCTTGACGACAACGACGGGGCCGAATACTTCTTCCCGCCATAGTTCGTCTTCTACTTCGACATCGGATATGACCGTCGGCGGGAAAAACGCGCCTTGTTCAAATTGAAAGCCATCCAAGACCGAATTGCCACCGAGGCGCTCTCCTCCAGTGAGAATCTGCCCATTCCCGGTTGCTTTAAAGCGTCGGACCATGGCTTCAATTCGAGACAGATGATGGACCGAAATCACCGTTCCCATAGATGACGCTGGGTTGAGAGCTGATATATAAAAACACAGTCAGCAACCTTGCTTTCTGCGTTGAACGACCCGCGCACGATCGCCCATTCTTCTCCGAACGCTCTCGGTTTTCTCCAAGAAACGATCCAGGAATTCATTGTAGATACCCGCTTGCACAATGATTCGAGTTCCGGAGACGCATGTCTGACCCGAGGCGATGAAGGACGCGAACGCTGCCCCGTTAACAGCGTTGTCAATATGGGCGTCGTCGAAGACCACGATTGGTGCCTGGGTGGCGGGGTCAGAGAGGGGACGCCAAACGAAATAGCAGTTGGCCGACCTTGCCTCCCAATTCCGCAGTATATGAAGCCAAGTTACGGCCTACAATGCCACCTAACGCACGACCTGTACTCGTGCCAGCCTGACGGTTGTTTGTCACGATTCATAAACGGGGAGCAAGTGGACTCAATGAAACTCACTGTTATGTCAACTTTGCGGATGGACGGATGAGATACTAATTCATTTCCGACTGTTGCGCCGCGGCCTGGAAGAACTGACAAGACACCGGCCGGGACTGCAAAGTTCCAATCACTTATTGAGCGCCGACAGATTTTCGACGAACCGAGATTAACTCACGACCAGCTTCTTCAGCAAGCGCAGCAAACTCGAGCAAGGTGATTGGCGCAAGCTGTCTTTACATGAGCCGTTTTCACTCAGAGCGGATACCATGCCTGACATACTTCCGAAGGTTTTACTATCACACTGTTGCCAGCGGCTACGGCGGGTGCGATCTTCTTGAGCGCTATCAAGAGTGGGTGATTGAATGGCTGATAAACACATCAATTGATCATCACAATCACCCGAACAGAGCATCGACAATCGTACGGTAATTTGGGCTACGACACCAAGAGGGATGCGCTGAACGTAATTCAACAATTTCCCTTGTGTAGGGGCGACGGTCGCTTCATGTGTACGTAGCAGGGCAGCGTAGTAGTCTCTGATAGGAACGTGGTCATGCGACTGTCACCGGAAGGAACATCTAGGCTTACAGCCATTCAGGCAATCTCCGTAGTTGTGCGTTCATCTCGCGGATGGTCCTGCCCGTTTGCAGGGTTTCGATTCTAGCAAGGTCTGGAACGCGCGATTCAAGCGCTCTGGCAATGTTTGACAAGATACGGGAGCGATAGACTGCTGGTGATCTACTCCATTGGCCTGCCTTATACACGTCTTCGGCATTTACTACCGCTTTCACGACATCGGAGGGAGATGCGGAATCAACACTGATGAGACGTACTCAGAGAGCGGTCTCAGGTAGTAGGATTGTCACCTACACGCAAAGTTCATCGCCGGTCGCTGGGTTGAGGACTGGGATTCTGGATGAAGATATTGAGTATGACCAGGGTATAAGGAAGGAGATCTCAGAGGTTACGGGTATCGTACGTACCGTTCGCTGTGTCCCGACGAAGCTCCTGTCATATGAGGGCCATAGCGTGAGCGCACGCTCAAGCGGGCCAAAGCCGATTCCGCGCATATGAAACGCGTTGGCTGCATGAATCACTGATCAGGCCTCAGGCTTCAGGGGGCCGGTCAGCATTGGGCTAACCTTAACCCTCCCCAGGGATGCTTTCCACGTGATCGCGATTGATCGCAGTTGAATGGCATGTCTGCAAGGTTTATGGACGCGTTTTTGCTGGAGGCACGCGTGGATAGAAGATATATTGCACCAACAAACGTTCTTCTCGGAGAAACTGAAACCCGATACGCTGGTCGGTCACATTCCAGCTTCCTCGCAGGCAAAGCCATACATCACGTGGACCACAGTTGCATGTGGCTGAACCGCTCAACGCGAGTCTGGAGGCTCGTTGATCTTCACCTTTACTCTACCTCTTCGGTAACCTCACTTTGGTGCCCGAAGGACGACGTGAAATAACCGGAACACTCCGTCTATTACTGGTGAACTCAAGTTATATCACCATGCCGCCACGATCTACTCGTGCTGCTGCAACAAAACCAGCCGTGAACGGCACCTCCACCACCGAAGCTGCTCCACGCAGCAGGAGCAGAGGGGCCAAGCGCTCATCCTCTCCTATCGCTGAGAAGGAGGCTCCTCCGCCTAGTAAACGCTCTCGAACCGCGAAGAAGGAGGTAGAGAGCAAACCCGAAAAGCCTGTGGCGCGCGCCAACAGCAGAAAGAAAGTCGCTGCCAACACCGCTACCAAAGCGCCAGCCAAGAAGGCCGCAACTGTCAAAGTCAGTGCCGGAAAGGTATCACGCAGAACTGAATCGCATCCTATCAATGGACTCCCTGCCGTACCGGAGCACACGCGACCGGCGCCGATCCTTTTCGGTTGGGGTGCGGGCAATTTCGGTCAGCTAGGCATGGGTAGCGAACTCCTGGGCGACTACGACAAGCCGAAGAAGAATCCGTGGGTAACGGAGAAAGTTGAGGATGGTGCATTCGGTTCTGAGGACGCCGGTTTGGAAACTATCGCTGCTGGGGGCATGCATACTCTCTTAGTGGACGAGAGGGGGACTGTAAGCAAGAACACTCGTTGTATCGACAGAAGGGCCTTCTCTGATTCATTCCCTTACATAGGTTTGGACATGTGGCGTCAATGACGAAGGCGCACTGGGCCGGGTGACCGTCGGTGTTCCGAACCCCGACAAGGAAGGGGAGTTCTTGGACGTCGACGAGCTCACCGCCGTCCCGCATCCAGTGCAATCGCTGGTCGACGAAGACTTTCGCGCTGTCAGAGTCGCAGCAGGCGACAGCGTGTCCGCAGCAATCAGTTCTACCGGAGAATTGCGCGTCTGGGGTTCTTTCCGAGTACGTTGGTTTGTTACGACAGCGACTATCCTGCTTATATGATCCGATTTGCAGGGCAACCAAGGTGCACTTGGATTCTCCAATGAGCAGCAGCGCCAGTTTCAACCGGCTGCTATCTTGAATCTGCACAATCGCGCTGCAGACCAGCACCCCGAGAAATTTGTCTCGGTTGCCGCTGGAAACAACCATCTGGTAATCCTGACCACGCATGGGCACATATACACTCTTGGCGCTGGGGAGGAGGGCCAACTCGGGCGCAAGGTTATCGAGCGTCGGAAAATCCACGGGACAGCTCCGGAGCGCATCATATTGGGTACACGGACGCGTAAAGCGGTGGTTGTTGGTGCTGGCAACAACCATTCTTTTGCTGTCGACCAGACAGGCGACGTCTGGGCCTGGGGACTCAACACAAAAGGCCAAACCGGTACCGGTTACCGCCATTCCGGCATCGACGGAGAAGTTCACGTTCCGAAGCGAGTCATTGGACTCAGCAAGGAAGAGCTCGGGGGTGATACAGTTGTAGAGATCGTCGGAGGCGACCATCACACATTGTTCCTCACCTCAAACGGGAAGGTTTATGCTTGTGGTCGTTCCAATGACGGTCAGCTCGGCTTGGCGGATGACGATCCAGCTTTCGAGGATCGAGAGTTTGAAGATTTTCTCCCTACGCCAGCTTTGGTGACCTTCCCTGATGCGGAGGACCCCGTCGCCCATATCTCCGCAGGCACCCACAACAATCTGGCCGTGACTGCTGGTGGCGCCCTTTACGCGTGGGGAGCACAGACGCAAGGGGAGCTTGGTGTCGGCGAGGATGTCGAAGCTAAAACGCCGAAAGTTGTTGTTCGCAAAGAAGGCGGCTCGTGGGCTGCGATAGTTGCAGCGTGTGGCGGTCAACATACGTTGGCATTGCTGAGGAAGAAGAACTAGCCCAGTCGCCTGGACATGCTGTTTATCTGACCGTCTTATTGTGGGGTCTTTCACCTTAGCTGCCTAGCTGTACCAAACACGGGCCGTAGTTACCTGTCGTGCGTAGTTGCATATTAATATTACTCGTTTCTTACGCAGACGACCGTCCATGTTGTTCGTGCTTGTACCTCTCCTACGGAATTTCGTGCGTGTTTCATCCATTTTTATCCCTTAACCTTCTTTCCACGTCCCACTCGGTGCCCCTTATTGTATTCCTCTTTGTTCCGTGTAGGACCCTGCTGTGCCTGTTGCTGGTGTGCTCGCACCGCCGACGCTGGAGGACACGAGGGATGAGCGTCAGCGGGCCTTCTGGGAGGTCACGCAGGAGAGCGTCGATCGGTTCCTGCCGGGCATGATCGACGAGAGCGCTCTTCCCATCGCCGCCTCCGCCTCCGCCTCCGCCTCCCCCGCCCCTGCCGATCCAGCTACTCATGATCAGCACCTGGTTGAGGTCCAATGTGCCGAAGTGCCAGCCGCAGCGTCGTGATGTATTCCTGACCGTTCTCTCTGCTCGTATTGGACTCAGCATTGTGCGCGTAGAGTATACGCGAAGTAAACAACGCTCATACAACTCATATCTCACAGAGTGTACATCTTTAGGAAACGCTCGAAGAAGCTCCTGGTTTGGAAGACGTGTTTTTTGATGTCTTCAAGACATCTTCTTCTCCTACTGAAGTTGCGATGGCGAAGCAAGCGAAGGTGAATGCGTGGGGCACCCGCCAATTTTTCAGTGTCAAATGCATTAGGTATCATCATTGTGAGCGATGTATGAGCTACAGCAACGACAATGGCAGATGTTTGCTATATACGTCTTTCTATCCCAGTAAAACTGCAACACTCCGTAGAAGTACCACATCATCAACGTCTATCACTAATGTCGTGCTTTACGACTGCCTCGTCAAGTCACTCTTTGAACGTATGCGTTCCCCATAAATGTACAGGAATACCGAGAATGGAATACCGAGAACGATCGCTGGATTTTGGTTAATCTGAAGGATTCTGACACCAGTCATAGTGGGACATACCGAGACCGCCGAGTAGGCTGTTACCTCCACCGTTTCCTAGCGCGTTGAACATTTGCGTAGCAAACAAAGGGAAAATGAAGCCAAAAAGTGAGCGAACGACTAAGACGGGGAAAAAGTCAGTGCTCGAAGTAATTCCGAACGAGGCCTTCATTACGCACCCGAGGCAGCCGCCAAGGCACTCGCAGCATACACGAAGGAGTCGACCAGGTAAAGTTGAATAGGAAGGCTACGCAAGATGTTGATCACAATTCCCGAAAGTTGAGAGATCCACTCACAAGGTCATCATGAGACCGAAACCAAAGATACCTGAGCACGGATATGAGCTTGGTTTGGCAATGAATACAAACATGCATACCAGTTCCGATGATTGGCATCATGAAATGGACTTTGGCTTGAGCAGACCAACCATACCAGCTTTATCATTGGCATTAGGGAAATCGAGCTCCGAAGACAGAGACGATGAACTTACAAAATGCCGATTGGGACGATAATGGCGCCAGCTATGAGCGTGGGCAGCCGCATTTCGGGTTTGGCCTTCCCGCCGTTCTTCGCGGCTGACTGCATATGTTCACCAATAAAAATAGCTCGCATCGGCAGAATATAGCACATACGTTATGATAAAGGGTGTTTCCCACTTTACCTCCAATAGCGGTTGCAAGGCAGAATCCTAGTCCGAGGCCGAGGTAGGCAATGCCTGCTGCGCCGGTACTGAACCCGTACTCAATCTCGAATATGTCTTGAACGGTTCAGTGGCTTTCCGGACAGATAATGACCGAACACATACCTGGGAACGTCGCTGTATGATTTCGAAACATTAGGTATAGCAAACGAAGCTCACGATAACCGAGACATACCGAACATGAGGTAGTAAATTCCGTAATTACTGCAGCAAGTGTAATGAATATCCGACCGCTGCAGGAGGAACATAGAGAGCTTACAGGCCCATGTACATGCTCAGCAAGAGACAGACGTAGCTGCGAGTCAGCAGAATGAATGGCCGAGTGAGGTTGAGCCAGAGAACGTGTATTTTACTGCCGTGTTGTGTCTGAAGATGCGGGTGTCGTTTGGCTGCCTCTTCTGGGTTTCCGGAGCGAGCCGCCAGGCGCATACGGATCACGGGAGCATATGTTTCTCGCAGGAACGGGATACCGATTGCTGCACCAAGGCCACACAAGCAAGCTATAATTTTGAATACCCATCTAACATACACATTCAGACTTTATTATCGATCATCAGGAAAAATAGCACAAACGGAAAGCCAATGTTCTGGGCAACATAACCTCCAATTAAGGGTCCTGGACGAGCTAGTATGAGATGGACAATAGTACTGAATGTTTGAGACCTTACCGATAGCAGGCCCAATTAGAGGACCCAAGGTATAGGCCGCCATGGCCCCGGCACGGTCTTTTTCAGAGAACATATCACTAACAGAACCCCCACCCACGGCGATTGGAGCACTCCCGGCAAATCCAGCTGCGTGTATATGAGCACCTTGCCAGCGACGGATATCCGTAGGTCGTACCAAGAAACCGGAGTCCGATCAAACTACCCGTAGTCGGTGCGTATGCACAGCCGAGATTAAAACATAGGAAAAAGAGATTTCCTATATGTAGGACCTTTGGGGAGGGGTAAGTCGTGATCTACGGGCAGCAATACGGGTTACGATGACGAACCCAGGTCCTTCCGTACATCTCGGATACTGGGGCTAAAATCTGTGCGATTGCATTGTGAGCACGGTGTACACAATACAGGAGCTATTAGGCACACCAGAGGTCCTATGGCGAATGACCTGAAATAAGCCAGCGGTTGATTTAGTGCGGCCAAGGGGACGATATGAACTGAATGCTCGAATTGCTCACAGAAGGAATATGCTGAGAGTCATGGCGATGATAGTCGAACTAGTGATATTGTAATGTGAGGCTATCGCCGGCAGACCAGGAGCCTATTCACGCAAATAAATAAAACAAACCGCAAACGAGAGATGAAGTCTGACCATCATAGAACTGGCAAGTGGGCTGACAAATGTATAATACGATACGATGGTCGTCGCAATGACCTTCCTGCTAGAGGACCAGTTCCTCGGGTTACGAGGGTCGTGCTGCCAATCGTCTTCAAGTCGTTCGTAAACCTTGGTGCTGTTAGATTTTGGCGCACATAACCATGCGAGGACCGAAGGACCTACCGATTCCGCCTTGTCTTCTGGTACGGCATCCTCGCCTTCGCCTTTCCTCAAAGAAGGAGGGGTTGCAGCGGCACCTGTTGACCGGACGTCTGCTGGTTCTGCCTGAGTGGTAGACGAAGTCGCCGTTTTCTGAACATCAGGAGAGTGCTCTCTGGAAGGCATGGCGGGAGCGACGCTGCACGCTGACCCGCGGGGGAAAAGAGAGGAAGCAGCATCGATAGGTCAGTCTGAGTTCTTGAAGGTCAAAATCTCGTCATCCCTCTCGAGTCAATCGTCGGAGCGTAGGAATGTATGTAGCGCAGAGCACGGGGACTTGGCGGTCCGCGGCGTACGGCACACCACGGCACGGCCTAAGGGCCAATCAGCTGCCTGCCTTGGTACCAACAAAGTCCCCACCGTTGATTGTGTCCGTCTCACGGGGCTCATCTCCACGAGAAAACATATACATAATCGGCCCCGCTATATACATACGTGATACATATAGTTAGGTGTCTGCCTACAGCACACTATACCTGCCGTGAGTCGCTGTAGGATTGCGCATCTCTGCCTGCAGAGCGGCTGCGGACGCCTCAATAAGCAACCGTTTGATCTCTCGGACCGCTTGCTCGACCTGGGGAAAAATATGAGTCTGCGTCCGTTCACCACTTGGAAATGCTACTGACCCTGAATTCCTCGTTTGACTCGATGAGCAGATGCAATTTTGGAGGTCCTTCGAGTGGGGGCTCCTTGCCGGGCTCGTAGTATATACCTAGGAGCAGAGTGAGCTGCGGGACTGGACTGCGAGAAACCTGAAGCACCTTTGTTCGTCACCGATGCGCCCGTCATATCGACCAACTGAACCATTGTCTCCTTGTTGGTGACCTTCCATCGAGCTTTCTGGGGATAGTCGTTGATCGGTATGATGGCATGGAACTCTGTCGCATCTGCGGTTGAAGGTTTTTGCTCTCCTCCGCCCTTTTCGAGAAGGGCCAGTTGTGACTGAGCAACGAGCTTGTGCGCCCTGAGCTGCGCATTGAGCTTGGCGACAACACTGAGCGCTTGCTTGTGTGCGGGACTGTCTTTCCCCGCACGAGCAGCAGCTTCTTCTGCTGTTTTGAGTGCCGCTTCAATACGCTCCTGTTCTTTCTGCTGAACGAGTCGACGGGCGGCCAGAGCTGCGCCGGCCACACCGAGTTGTCCCTTCGAGGAATCTGGAGCAGGGCCGCGTTTGACCTCGACTTTGAAGTTCCCGAAAGTCATAGCATCCTCGGCTGGCGCAGCCTTCGCCGGGTCATCCGCCTTCTCTGTCGCGGCGGGCTTCTCTTCCTCGGACTCGCCATACGCCTTCCGCTCGGCCTTCTCTCTCGCATCACGCTCTTGGTCAAGCTTATCCAAGCCTTTACCTCCGAAACCAGATCCCGCAGCCTTCGCTTTGCCGGATTTGACTTTGTCGAGGAAACCTACAGCGAAATCAACGTCAGCCACTGTGTCATGCAAAAAGTATGCATCGCGCACCATTGGCCAATTGCTCAAGTTCTGCCGGAACAGGAGCGTTGCTAGCCTTCAACGCCCTGTAGATATCTACTGAATACCGTTCCTGTTCCTCCGTAATGAAGGTCACACATGTACCCTTATTGCCGGCTCGGCCAGTTCGGCCAGCTCGGTGGACGTAGTCCTCCATATGGTTCGGCGCGTCGTAGTTGATGACAAGTTTGAGTTGTTTCACGTCCAAGCCTCGTGCAGCAACAGACGTAGCAATGACGATGGGAACCACGCCAGATTTGAAATCAGCGATGGTCTGATCACGGTCTACTTGCTCCTTGCCTCCATGGAGAGACATGCATAAGTACCCTCGTCGAAGTAGTTCGCGAAGGAGGTTATCAGCGGCTTCCTGGCGATCGACGAAGATCAACGTCCTGCATTCCGGATCTTCGTTGTACATCTGGCCTAGAATCTCGAGGAGACGTGTGAACTTCGTGTCTTCTGGACGGACCTCGACGATCTGCTCGATCTCCGCTGCAACCACGGAACGACCACCGACGGTAATCTCGAGGGGTTTGCGCAAAATTTTTCGCGCCAGCGAATCCATTTGCTTCGGGAAAGTGGCAGAAAAGAGGACAGTCTGCCGATCGGGGCGTATGTTGTTGATGATCTTCATGACCTGGGGCTCGAAACCCATGTCGAACATACGGTCAGCTTCGTCAAGAACGATATACGTGACGCGTTTGAGGTTGGTCACTCGACCTGAATTTGCCGTAAGGAGGTCGATCATGCGACCAGGGGTACAGACTATGATTTCCGCCCCCTTCTTCATATCTGCGATTTGGTCCTTGATCGGGGAGCCACCATAAGCACATACAGCCTATAATAAGGCAATCAGAAGAGTCCCATTCAAAGCATTGTACACGGACGTACACGTAAGTTGAGAACCTTCAGGAAAGGCTTACACTCTCGGTGTATCTGAACAGCAAGTTCACGGGTTGGGGTCATGATGACACCGATAGGACCTTCCATCTGCTCGAGAGGTCGCTGATCCTTGATGTGCCGGAACATCGGCAACAGAAAGGCAATGGTCTTCCCTGAACCCGTCTTGGCGACACCAATGACGTCTCGGCCGGACATGATAGCAGGGATAGCTTGTGCTTGGATAGGTGTCGGCGCCGTGAAGTTGAGCCTCTTTATAACTTCGAGACTGAAACTCGCAAGTCAGAGGCGCGTGTCTGCATGAAAGGAGATCGCTCACCAGCTAGCAGGTAGACCGAAGTGACTCCACTTCGTCACAGGTCGAGGGCAATCGACGCCGCGGATTTTGATACTATCCAATTCCAATCGAACCAGTTCGGCATCCTCGTCGGTCATTGCAGCGATATCGGGAGGCGCAATGTAGAATTCTTTGCGGAAAGGTTCATACTGGACGCGGGAATGATCCACGGTTGCAAGGTCCTTCTTCTTAGCTTTTTTCGCGGCGAGGGCGAGAATATCCTCGGGATTTAACTCAGTCTGATCGAGTTCATCCTGCACACCCTCCGCGAAGTCCTCGACGTTGTCCTCCGTGCCATCATCAAGTCGGACACGCGATTGCTGACTAGGAGCAGCGCCTGCTTTCTTAATGTCCTCTTCGTTGACCTTCTTGACTTCTTCTTTAATACCGGTCATAAAGGCATCCAGTGGGTCCACCTCGTCTTCATCCACATCCATAGCGTCTTTAGTCTTGGACTTCATTACAGCCTCCATCCGATTTGCCTCCTCGTCATCTTCATCGCCCTCCAAATCACCGACTGCGCCTTCGCCATCGACCATCGTCATATCCACAGCCGGCATGTCACCAAGTTTTTCCAACTTGCGTTTGGTATCGTTAGAGTCATCCATCGACATGGTGGCCGAGGTACTTCTGAGTACGTCGGACTTGATTGGAAGACCCTTGAGACCCAGTCCATTCAACGCATTGCGATTCAAGGCACCTGCAGGCTTCGCCGGAGTGGCAGAAGCGTTCACTAGGAGCAAACGGATCAAGTGGTATGAAATCACGAATAATTGATCAAGTAAATGGAGGAACTCACCAGGAGGGGCTGACTTCCCTGCCAATGCCATGGCTTTCGCCTTTGCCTCGTCCAAGGCTTTCTTCGCCTCTCGTTCTTTCTTCCAAGCTTCCAAACGGGCTTTCTTGGCCTTCATTTTGTCATCCTCAGGATTCGACTCTGTAGAAGCGTTTGGTTGAGCAGACTTCTCATCCCTGGGAGGCATAGCTGGAGGAGCTCGATCTCGGTCCCGACGTTCACGGTCGCGAGAGCGAGAACGTCGACGGTCATCTCTTCGGTCGTCGCGACGGTCATCCCTGTGAGAGTCCCTGCGCCTTTCGTCTCTGTATCGGTCATCACGGTATCGATCCCTATCCCTATCCCGCCTATCGCGATCCCTGTCCCTCTCGTCGTCGTACCTCAACCTGTCGGCTGGCCTTTGGGTACGCCTAGTCGGCGACGGAGACCTGGGGGAGCGGTATGAAGACCTTACCCTCTTGTTGGAGGCGTCAGGAGAACAATAAACGATTACGCATGCAAGGAGCTTAGCGTATCATATGGCTTGATTATCATGTACTTATATCATACTCATCAATCTATTTGGCTTTCGTGATCAGTTACGCGGCGAGTGATGTCACATCGAGAATAGTTCATTGCACACAAGATAACATATAGGATCATGATACCTATGTTGTTGGTGGAAACCTGTAACTACCGTTCTGCTTCCGCACAATGAACCTTGGGGTGCACCATATCGTGAGCTGGGACATCGTACCTTCTCTGTCAGACGGCCTGTGGTGAAGTGAAATATGACAGCGATGCACCACGGGGCCGTTGAGCAGCGAGGTACGTCCCAAAACGTTGATCAAGGTGCCGGTACCCTCCTTCATCACAGGGAAGATCCCAGGGATGGTGTTACCTGATGGAAGCACCGATGGCGCTCCCCAGGCGTACGGAGCGAACATTGGTACGTCCCAAAACGGCTCGTGCCAGGATTAGAAGACCCCAGTGCCTGAATGAAAGGTGAGGGACGTACCAGTGCGTAGACCCATCCTGGTAAGTACCATCGAACCTCTGGTGGTCCTGAGACATCGCAGCGTGCGTTGCTGGTGGCAGCAGTCGCTCTATGGTATGTCCCAGCGAAGCGCCCCAGCACACTGGTACGTACCACTCCTCGATCATGACAGGCACGATGTTCTTGAACCTGACCTCCCATTCCCAAGTCACCGCCTGGTACGTACCTGTTGCATTCCAGGTGTAGCATCCGGACGATCGCGCACGGTACGTACCACTCCTCGATCATGACAGGCACGATGTTCTTGAACCTGACCTCCCATTCCCAAGTCACCGCCTGGTACGTACCTGTTGCATTCCAGGTGTAGCATCCGGACGATCGCGCGATCAGCCAGTTGGGATGGGGGATCCCGCGGGACTTTGAGCCGGTGTGTATGGGCTGCTGAATGACGATATCTCCTTACGAGGACCCCTGCTCAATTCAGGCGGGGTATCATCGATGGTACGTCCCACTGACGTCCAATGTTGAGAATCGAGTCGACCGTGTCCGTGCCTTCTTTGATCCAGGTGATGAATCCAGCATGCTGGCCGTGGCCAGAATACGAGCCCCAAGAAGGTTGGCACGGGAAATATTGCGTAGAGCGATGTCGCAGTCTGAGAGTTCACAGAGAGGCCAAGAGGCAAAAGGGGCGAGAAGACGATCCAGCTCCGCCCACTCAGCTCCGGCGCCGAAGTAGTGGTACGTACCAAGGGAGAATATAACGCTGGCAACAAGTTCGTGCCAACTGACTCGACGTCGCAGAAGATGAACTCAACACAGTTACGGATGCGTGTCTGTAGATATGTTTTATAGTCTATTGATAATATGTCCAGTCCTGCGGGAACGATCCGAAGAGGATTTGGTACCGCCGTCGGGATACGTGTTGTATGCTGCATTGGCCTGGTACTTGCTGTCAGGACGCTGTGGGGACCGGTGGATGTCTGGGATGTCCCCTACCGCGAGCAGCCCGGATGCCGCCCGGCGCAGGAAGTACCAGCAAAAGTGGGAGATACCCTGCTAGCAGGCCTTCGAAGGCGGTTCAATCGGGGCGGGGAATCCACCTTACTAGAGCCCGTCAGAGGGGTGGCTGAGGTGGCGTCTTCCCCTCCACCACCAGTCGGCAGTGGGCACTCGGTCATCTAAATTGACACTGGGCATCTCAAGGTCTATTATGGCGCGACGCGATAGATCATATCCTGTTCGCGCAAGTATGCTGCACGTGCCATACCGCTGGCCATCAGCTCTGCATCCGTATCCACCTCGTCATCCTCGTATTCGCTTCGCACCCGCTTAATTGGACGGGGTCTGGGTGGACCTGACCGTTCTTGCCGCAAACTTGTAGGAGCGATTTGGGCGGGCATTCGGGCAGCGTTGGCGGGCATTCGGGCAGCGTTGGCGGGCATTCGGGCAGTGTTGGCGGCCACGTCCGGCAATTGTATATCTTGTTGTGAAGCATCGCGTACTAGCCTTGCAGAAGGGAGATGGTGGCGGCTGGCCGTTGCGGGACGATGACCTGGATGGCCGATATCCGTCCTTGGAGACGTGTACGAGGGAGGGCGTCGGGGAAGAGGTACACCCCGAGTTCGACTGTCTGAGGGCTGGGTCATGACCATTGGCATACGTGCATGCTGTTGCTGATGGCCACTCCGCTCCCACGCGTCCTGGGAGACTTGGTAAGGAGTCGATAAGGCCTGAAGCGAGTGATAGCCAGCCGATGGCGCTGGCAGTGGACGACGTGTTGACGTAGCAAGCCCCTGCGCGAGATGAGCGCCGCTTTGGCTCACCAAGGGTTGTCGATGACCTGCGAGCACCTCGGGAGCAGCATGATGCCCACGCAGTGGCTCTTGCGTTAGCTCGGAGTTCCATTGAGAATGGACGGGCGTGTGGGCCGACAGGTTATAGTTGGAGGGATGGGCGGGATAGTCGAAGGGTTGGTGCACCGCAGGTCGGGAAGGTATGGTGACTTGCCCATGATACACTGCTGGGGAAATGGTTGGTGTCGGTAATGGACGGGGCCGGGGGCCTCTGATCGACCGAGTGGCAGCTTGGGGCACACACGGCACGCCGTCATCACCGACAGGCAATCTATCATGAGCAGCTGGACGCAGCGGTGGTGTCTCGCTCTGGAGTCTGAAGTCCCAATCGTCGCCGTATTCTGATGATACATGTCAGTGCCTCTGAACGAAGTCCGCGCAAGACTCCGGTAACTCGCCTTCAAGAGACTCCAGAATCGGCGGCAACGAGTTCTTTGCTGACACTTGAGGGTCAGCGGGAGGTTGAGCCATCGTCGAATCTTGCCATTGAGGTTGCATCAATGCATTCCACTCAGGTGCGTAGTCCTGAGCCGCAGAACCGGGGTGCGCAAACGGAGAGACGTGTGTGTCGTCAACGAACTCAATCTCGTCGACGTCCATCTGAGACGGCAATGAGGGTCAGGGCAGGTAAACAACAAGAATGATCAACGTACCCGTCCATCCTCAAGACCTTGAGGATACGTCGTCATTGGCGTGCTGGTTGCTGCCAAGTCGAAGGCGACGGGCACACTATCCTGCGCAACTTGCTCGTCGTCACTCCCTACATCGATATACGGCTTGTCCTTCTTCATCCGTGCGTTGAGAAGTGGATTCACGTAGTTATGGGCCGTTGGGATCGTGCCTAGTACATGCCCCCTGCGCGTGGTTTGCGACCCAGACCCGGTTGGACGTGCCGGACTATCGGTCTCGGCGGGTGCTGAATCCTTGGTATGTCGTCCGGACCGCTGACGTTTTTTGGTCGTCGCGGGAGCGGATTTTTCTCGCCGCTTCATCTTCTGTTTGCTGTGCGCAGCGTTGGCAGCAGATGGAGAAGCTATGTCCTGAGCTTCCTGAATAACAGCGTCGTAGTATGCTTGCGTAACCTGGGCGCAATACAAGACGATTTGCCGCCCATACGGGGTGTCGATGATTTCTTCCTTCCCCTTCCAGCCGGTTTTTGGTATGTACCCCATCAGGATTGGCACCTGCCCACGATCGCGCCACGGCTTGTTTCGGACATCTGGGAACGGTATGAGATTCTGTAATGAGCAATACGGCAAGACAGGACTTGCCAGCGGGCCACTTTGCAATGGCCAGCTTTTCTGGGCCGTTTCGCCTCGTAACCATCGTTTTAATCTTCCTGCCGATATGCTTCCCACGGAAGTTGAACGCAATCTCGTTTTGCCTGCCTGCGACTTTGGTCTCGGTCATGGTTGCATCGGGGTTCCAGTTGTATATCGATATCTCATTCTCAACAAGATACTCCATACAAGTACCCCACATGAACTTGTTGCGGGTGATGCCGATCTCAGGCTGTTCTGATATGAGGAATCAGTATCGACATCACAACGAGAAAACTCAAGTACTTACGGCACAGTTCAAGGATCATACGTCGCAAAGTCTTATCGCAGTCGTCACGCGTTGGGTCCTGATCGTCATCAGACTCTTCCTCTCCGTCGGCGTCAGCGCCGTCGGCGCAGGCGGCGGGCTCAGATGGCTTCGGGTCTGTTGGATCGTCGGCGTTGCCGGTAGAGTCCGACTTCTCGATAGGAATCAGGCCTTCGAGTTGTTCATCGGTAACGATGGGCGAGCCGTCTTCATTCTGTTCCAAAATCCTAAAACAATCATGAGCGGTGTTTTTCCCCCAGTAAGGACGTGGACGTACGTGACAAGGGCACGGCATTCCATGATGTACTTATGAAGATTCTTTGGAAATCTTGCCCTCAGGCGTGGCCAGAGAGGGGAACCTCCCGTCATGATATAGTTCCCGCCGGCGGTGTCGATGATGATGCCGAAAATATGTAATCCGGTTTGCGAATGCCAATGCTCTGACTGTCTCGCAATTAGCAAAGTTCTCACAAAGGTCAACAATGCTTACCACAGAGCTGAGTTGACGAGCTGCATTTGTAACCAACGTATTGGTTTTACCTTCTCCGACGAGTTTCCCCAAGAACTCTTGCCGTTTCGTATGCCACCAGTCGTAGCAATCTTGCATGGCAGCCTTCTTTTCTTGCCAAGTTTGGTGACCCGCCAGGCGCGCGTGATAAGCGAGTCTCTTTCGATGCGCAAAGGTTGTCGTGCTCTCCGCTGACGTTACGGTTAGAAAAACGAGGAAGCAGTTCAAAGCACCGTGGCATACCTTTGACCGACCCATCGGCGGATGCCTTGATCTTTGGGTGGTGTGCGGCATACCATCCTTGCCATACTTGCCAACGGTTCTCGGCCCGAGATGAGATAAGCGGCGGGCGCCCAATCCACTTTGCGACGACGTCCAACGACCTGCCCGTTTGTTTTGCAAGGTCAAGCTTGAATTGATCCGCGTATTTGATAAACTCCTTGAGTTTCAATTTCGCAGCCTTGCTGATTGCTCCGGGACGGTTTGGGATGCTCGGGTCTTCGGTATCAGACATTTCGTCGCCGGATATCATATCGTCGTCGTCGTCGGCGTCGGGGGCAGGTTCGATGTCCTCCCAGTCGTCACATCTCTCCAATGCCGAATTGGGTGCGCACCCCAACGAAGCCTCATCGAGATGATTATGAATTTCGGCGTCCGTATTTGTATCGAGAGTCGCAGAGGCTGTAGGCGATGGGTCCTGGAAGGCAACGTTGGCGGGGTTGAACTCCTGTAATTTGTGTCACCACTTGTCGCGTCTCGAAACTTCAGGGAGACTTACCAGCTGCGTAGCACTTGCGTTCAGGTCATTCTGGTGGACATAGATCCCAGTTGTTGATACGGTGGGGAAGACGAAACGCATGGTGTCGGATACACGATGTGAACGCTCAGATTTGTTCACGTCAGGAACTATCGAAAGCTAGTAAGTATTGGTCCGATTTGAGACGATAATACACGCAATACATGCCTTGTTGTGCAAAGGTTGGCGGAGCCAAATGCGCCGACTTCCAGGGCGCAAATAACGGAAACGTCGTGTTAGATTGCGCAACGGTATCGTTAAACTAGATAGCACGTTTAAGTCAAGGAATTGTCAAAATCAGCAAAGCCAGGACGTACCTCGCGTTGTGTAGCGTTTTCCGCAGAGTTCATCGTTGCAATGAACGTGGCTAACGAATCCTGTACACTAGATGTTGCCTCTTCAGGTAAGGCGTACGGCGCCTCTGCTTCTGCCAGACCAGATATAACGTCGGAAGAACCCATGAGCACATTGCCCGGCGCACGCCCGAGCTGAGGTTGACCGTAAAAAGCTGGAGGAAGCGCGGGTACATTGAATGTTGGAAAAACGGACCCTGGCGCATTCGCGCCGTGATTGTTAAGAGATTGAGCAGCTGAAGATGCTTTGAGTTTTGTCAGCGCGACTCGTAGTAATGAATCGACGGATCTCATGCGAACCAGTTGCAATATTGGATAACACATCGGCAGAGACAACGGCGGCCGCAGTCCTGGATGTGGGTAGCAGGGTACTGGTCTGGTTGTCCCCCCTGCTGTCACCAAGGATGATATGGTCGCCCCCAGATGCGGGACGGCCGATCCCAGGAGCGGAATGGTCGATCCCGGGGGCAAGAGGGTCGACGCCGCGGGCGGGAGGGTCGATGCCGCGGGCGGGAGGGTCGACGCCGTGGGCGGGAGGGTCGACGCCGTGGGCGGGAGGATCGACGCCGTGGGCGGGAGGGTCGACGCTGTGGGCGGGAGGGTCGACGCCGTGGGCGGGAGGGTCGACGCCGCGGGCGGGAGGGTCGATGCCGTGGGCGGGAGGGTCGATCCTGGGGGCGGGAGTGGGAGGGTTAATCCCGGGGGCAGGAGTGACAGTGTTGCTATATGGTGACGACAATCTTGAGGACAACGACGATGGCAATGAGCCGACTTCATCCAATGGAACCGCTGGTTCCAATCCGGCTGCTTTGGAGGTAACCTGTTCGTGCGTATCTCTTTAGCGATCTCTACTTGAGATTATTTCGTGTTAACGTACCTTGGTTTTCTTCGCGGCCTTCGTGGAGTTTGCCGTCTTCCGCTTGGTTGAAGGCTCCTTACTTTTCTGGTTGATGAATTCCGCGACAGGTGAGCATGTCAAAAAGATATATATCATGCAACAAATTACCTGGGATGATATCGACTTCTTGTCGGCAGGTGGCGCTGGCAGCTGAACCCCGAACATACTGAGCAACATCGCCAATATTGCCATACAAAGAAGACTTACAGCATCTCCAGCGACATTCGCTGGCTGTGATGGGACATCGAGCGCACCCGTTTTGCGCTTCTGGAGGACTCTGTAAGCCACGCACACACGCATGCACGCAAACAGTAACTAGATACCTTTCTTTTCTTCGTCTCTTCAAGGGGCAAAGACAAAGTTGTTAGCGGTGTTGCCTTCTAGAAGCGTGAGGGCTCGAAGTAGCGCACAGATGAAGTACAACACACCTGTTTACCAGAACGTGTCTGCGGCATTCTAGCAGTAGCGAGACGGGACAGTGTGCGCAATAGGACAGCAATGAAGAAAGCTAGACGGCGGTGGGCAACAAAAAGATGGGGTTGGGTCGATGCGCTACAGTCTTTGCAAGCGTTTGCTGCACTCCAGCGTCGACAGATCAAGGTTGGGTTCTCCGTAGCTTTGACGTCCATTCAATGAAATTTTACAGAAGCTGTATGCGCCCTGTATCGCGTACGCTGTCAGCCAAGAGCGGGGAGAGAGCGCGATGGGGGTGGTAAGTACCTGCACCATTTGCGAATCGGTTATGCGTGCGCAGGTGATGAAGGTGGCATCCAATCAAATCTGAGAGAGTAACGATCCACACCAGAAGTCCCTAAAGGGAATCTCCCCTGAATGACCGTCAGAGCCTGGGGCAGGCGCACGGAGGATCTGCACGAGGGATCTGCATGTTCCAATCATGGGCTTCACGACACTAGATACGAATGAGCATCTCCGGACGATGAAATTTTTACAACGCTCACGGTGTGTTGCTTCCGTCTTCCTCTGAGTCTCATACCACCCTCCTGTTCGCCTTTGCCCTCGCTAACGTGGGGCGACATGTCCGCTGCATGCGATGAAGCTGAAGAGGATATCACTGACTCGATGATCTTTCGTGATAAATATGTGAAGGTATGAACGATTGCCTTCTTTGAGACTGCTGCTGACAGTATGCAAGGCGCGAATCTTCGTAGGTATGCTCAAAGAAGGGGATCGCGAGCAGAACCTGTGGAACTACAGCCCGATGGTGCTTCAGCATCTGTGTTGCTATCACTACAATAGGATGCTAACGGGTACGACACCCGTGGCTTACATGAAGTGTATCTTCGTGCTTGGACAACTGATGGTGCAACCCCTCGAAGTTTCGGTGAGGCGACCCTATATTTAACAAGTACAAGTCAATAACTACTCATTAGGTCATCGTGCGTGAATTTATTGGGGCTTACCAGCGATTTGTCCCGGAAAAGATCGACGAGAGCACGCCAGCTTCGGGAGTGATGAACGCGAGGCAACTCTTCATCGACCCTGAGCTGACGATCCCGTGGCGCTTGCCAGAGATCGAACAGAACAACTCTGGATCGCTCTGGGGTCCGACAGACTGTAATCCCTGGTTCCGCTGTTGGTTGAACCGAGTATCTGAGGTACGATGAGTGTCCAATTCCACGGCAGCCAGTGTAGCTTAGAAAGACCACCTAGGCACAAGAACTAATCTCGTGGGCCTTACAACCCACGTGTCTTGAGGAGTTCGCCGAGGACAGCGTCCTCAACTATCATATGACGAACTTCCATCGGTTGCGACGGACGTGTGGGGTGAATGGCCACCGATACCTTCAGCACGTGCTGGGTTTAGCATTTCTTTCCCCTCTGCGGTATGACCGGCGTGCAGAAAAGGTACGCATTACTCACGGTATATTGCGTGTTAGCTGATCAGCCTTACAGTTGATAAAGAAAGGCTTCGGGGAGTTGTTCTGTCGATGGAGCGGGCGTTACCTGGACATGAATGAACAATTAGTACCTTTGATCGCTGACAACTTTGCCGTTATTCCCGTCACATTCGAGATGATTTGGGATAGAGAGGGTGCAGGAGAGGGCGAGCCGCACTTGGGAATTTCGCGGGAAGTTCCAGATCCCGGGGCTATTCTCCGCACGTTCTTTGCGATAAATAACGATACATGTGCACGAACAAGCTGGAATCAGTAGTGTCTTCGTCACTTTCCAATAACTTCTTGTATCGCGCCTCTTGTAATGCCACGCCAATATCTGTTACATACGGAATGAAACAATCTACGGCGTACGATTGATGATTTAGATCTCACCAACCGCGAGCCAGAAGAACCAGAACACTCACGGCAAAAGAAGGAACACACAACATTGATACAGGGATACAGGAAAGAAGAGTATGCGTGACATTGTAAATGATATACAGGCAGCGTGGTCAGGGTAAGTAGTATCGTCAACTTGGGTTCTGCAAAACCGGCGTTGGCGCAGGGCTGCACATGAGTTCGTATTCGTCATTGTAAATGGGTGTCAGTGTGCATTATAACTGAGGTTCGTAATTGGACATCATTGTCGGTTCGATGGAGTTGAACGATCAGTGTGAGTGGGATCTCGATAACAAGGATGCCTCACCGGAACAACTTGCGGAGGTGTACGTGCGGAACCCGGGCCTATCATATCTGAGATGGATTGCTGTATAGAGGAACAGGAAATGGCTAACCGCAATTAGGTAGGTAGGTAGGTAGATTGTCGACGAGGTCCCGGTAGCGGAACAGCCGGTTGCTGCGCTGCACGTACGCCACTCGTGCAGTCAACAGCGTGCCAAGCAGCTCAACGGTTTTCGTGAGTTGATGAAGCCAACCGCACCGTCTCACCACCGGCACCAAAAAGTCCTAGGTACATGTGTACATACAGTGCTATGTAATGTATGCTAGGAAAGCCATCTTTACCTTACTGGTGGAAGTCCGGCTCCTCGTCAGTGCGTTGAAAACCCCGACCACCCCGCAAAACCGCTTGGGAAAAAAGCGGGGTGGGGGGGAAAGCATCGTCGAAGGAAACACAGACCTACATCGGCAGTCAAGCGCAATGGGCAAGGTAAGGTGTATCCAATGCACTGTGCAAATATGTGTGTAGGCCAGAAGTACAGCGTAACTATCCTACTCTGTGTGGTTTCACGAAGGCCGGTGTAGGAAAAGTTGTACACTGGCAACAAACGAGGCGACGGACAAGTCAAGAGATCGTCCGTTGTGGCCATATACGGATGTGAATACTTAGAAACCTTTCGCACAACTTGGATGTGCCAGATTACTCACCGCACATTCATAATGATTGCTGGCGATACATCCGCGCGATCAAGTTGGGATCAGTAGGGTATCTTCGTCACTAGTCGACAATTGGGTTCGCATGCTTATTCAAGATGCTCGTATTTTCTACATATGAATTGGAATGGCTCGTGATCAGAGATTAATATGACATCTAGGAGGAGTGAAGAGGCCGAGGCAGAGCCTTCCAAGGCAGAATTTTAATTGATTCTCGGACATCAGGGGATAGACCATCGGCGCACACGCACGCATGCCACACATTCTGGATGTCAGAAACAGAACCAGTGAGTCTCAGTCGTGGTACGGCAAGGCGTAGCGTCGGGGTGCAGGGCGCATTACCCATTTTGGATCTGATGCGCCTTGATTGCCGTTCTGGGATGTGAGCGAAGCTTGAGCCCGAGAGAAATTACTATTTTACGCATGCCACCACATTCGGGATGTCAGAAACAGAACCAGTGAGTCTCAGTCGTGGTACGGCGAGGCGTAGCGTCGGGGTGCAGAGCGCATTACCCATTTTGGATCTGATGCGCCTTGATTGCCGTTCTGGGATGTGAGCGAAGCAAGCCTTGGGCCCGAGAGAAATTACTATTTCATATGATTCTGGTCTTGTCAATTTCCTATACAGGTCGCAAAATTACTATGGAAGCACCCTCCGCATTTACAGTGTTTAGCAAGCTCGCCGGACCCAGGGCGTCAAGCACGAGGCGGAAGCGGCATGACGTGCGGACCCCAGCAATTGCTTCTAAACCTGCTTCAAAGAATAAAGAACCACCGGGATGCACGGGCCTGTACGCCGCTATGATTCCTACTTCGCATAAGGTACCTTGGAACTTCGCTACTGACGGCATGGCTTGCGGAGAACATAATCCTGTCAGAGTGATTGATCATTATACCGCGGATCATCATCGGGAGGTTAGGTGGGGCTTACTACGACAAGGATAAATCGGATTGGAGGACGAGGGAAAAGTGTCAATTGGATACCCTTTTCGTTGGATACAATGCCACATGGCTGATGTTGGTAAGTTACCAATCATACAGCCAAGGAATATACCATACTGGATGGAGTTTGGGAGCAAAATGGAAGACTCGTTGCGGAGACGATCTGGAAGACGCGGCGCGTGTGCATCAAAGCCATACCTTCTCAGTGCAGTGGGCAAGCCGAGATAACCGCTATGAAGAGGAGGAATTCTTTCCTAGCACGCGTACATGCCATTGTTGCGGAGAGAAGTTTGAAGTGGGCCGCATCGGGCATGCCAAGTCTGGATCCAAAATGATGTCATCATGGAATATCAGCATGTGCCGTCGAGTATAGAAGGTTATACTTCCGCCGACCCTTGTCACTTGGTAAGTACCAGAGAGCCACGAGGGAAGATGGTAAGTACCAGAGAGCCACGAGGGAAGATGGTAAGTACCAGAGGTGACCGCAAGAGATAAGGCCAGTGACGCGTGCCTGCCGTCAAACGTGTATATATATGTACGACGAACTCCCGTTCGCCCCCCCATTGCGCTTGCTTGCACTGTGCCCTCCCGTGCTTCATGTCTCGCCCAGTTCTCCCTTGGCATGGTGTTGCGCCTCGGATTAACTCTGCCCGCTTCCCTCGTTACAGAGGTCGCGCTGCTCGTGTCCCTGGTCAGATTATAGAGGTGTGTCGCTCGCATCCATCCGGTTCCCCCTAGTCCTCTAACACTTCATCTCGTCGGACAGCACCGAGGCTCGTCCATATACCTGCAAGCTGTTGACTGCGGCATTGTTGAGGTGTACTTGCCGCGCGTAAGCCCATGTAGTTATGCTTCGACGGCGTCTAACATTAAATCCCTTCCCCAGGATGTCAAAATGGACGATGAACGTGACGTCGAGATTACTGGAAAAATCTTGGGCCAAAACGCCATGGAGATGTGGTGGTTCATAGGCTACAATTATACCCTCGGTAAGTTATCTAAACGGTGTGGTTCGCAGCGACCTGACGGTTAATTCCAGACAACCGTGCACTAGATGCCGCCATAAACATGATCCACGACTCTCTGTTCGTTGGACCGTTATGGGGCATCCAGTTCGACCCTCCGCAACATAGCCAACCACTCCGTGTTCCAGCACGCGATGATGACATCGAGGTAGTCCCCCACCCCGAGCCGCAAGTACTGTCAAGCATGGTGCCGCTTCCGCTTCGCATCCAGGCACTACGACGCGAGGAGATCCTCTGAAGGGTGCTCCGTGCTTGCGTCGCTTGCTGCACGTTCGCGGTGGTTGCTGCGCGTTCTCGGGGGTTGCAACACGTCTCGGGGGTTGCAACACGTTCGCGGGGTTTGCGACGCGTTCGTGGGGGTTGCGACGCGTTCGTGGGGGTTGCGACGCGTTCGTGGGGGTTGCAGCGCGTTCGTTGGGGCGTTCGTGGGGGTTGCGGCGCGCTCGCTGGGTTGCCATCGTGTTCGTGGGGATTGGGGGCGCTTTCGTGTCGGCCGCACTGCTTACTCGCCCCTTGTGCCAGTGCTAACCGCTAACCTCCTTTCCTTCGTCTCATTTTGCGCATGACTTGACCATAAAATACTTCGATGTACCCCGTCTCATGTTTCACCGTACCTATATCCGTTGATCGCAGTCTCGTTTTTATTTTGGGTTCTTGTGGGTTCAATCCTTCCAATCGTCATCCTATATACACAATCATGTAACGTTCCCTCCAGCAATGTATAATGTTTATTTGCTCCTTCAATGCTGGCACGACGGTGGCCGTTGCCATGTTAATCACATATTTTATAACAAGAACACTCAATGACAAGAAAGCCAATTCAGATATGGAGTTGAAGGCTTCCGACGTGTCGAATTGGCCCAACCATAGAATATCTAATATGACTACAATCCGCCCATCACACAACGGAGTCCCCCAACTGCGGTCACTCAAGGACTTCACCCAAGTATGCCGTTCCGTATACCACGTACTGCTCTCAGAGCCACAGCACAGAACTTGAAGACGCCTTTGGAGCAAGGCCCCGTACTTTCAGCCCGAGCTTCCCTACCGCTGCAGAAACCCGGACAGCCCCTACCCGTGATACTCTTCCCGGATGGACAGACCCTTGTGCAGCATCCAGACGGCAGACACGACCAAGAGAGCACAAAAAACGATATATGCGGAAGCAATGTCACAGAATCCCCTCGTACTCCCTCAAGCCGTTCCTTTGCTTCTCCTTCAGTGAATACAGACTGTTCGTCGCCTCTTCGTATTCACGAGCCCCAAGAACCCCCGTCAGCCAATAACAAGGCTCGATATGCGCGGAAAAAGGCAAACCAATGGGAGCGTTGGCGTACCGTCACCATACCGGAGCTCATCACTCCATACATGAACTACTTGGCGCGTGCCCGCAGCCAGACATCTGGGCAAGTTGCCGCATCGTGTACGTGTGGTGGCCCAAACTTGAAGACGTTAAAGACCCTCATTGTCTACATTGATCGTGAGTACCTTATACAGTTCTCTGCTTCTACTTAGTCCTCATGTTGTCCTAGGTCTTGAAGAAACTCAGGTGCATGTATGTGGTTGCACCTCGGCGGCGAATTTCCTAGTGTCTCGTGGGTTTTTCCCGTGCGCACCTCAAGAGCCTTCGGTCGCGTTCGACATCAACATGATGGAGCTTGTCGCGACACTGTTTCTGAAAGTGGCGCCAAATGTGACAGCTTGGGCGTCTACGTTAGAGACCTTCCTCGGGGCAAGACACTTCAAAATGCGCACAAGGGTATGTCTATCCTCTCCTCGCGCTGCGTTCATGTATTTCTCAACTCTTTACCATAGTATTCTGTGCGACGACGATTAGGAAATGCCTTAAATTGGTACACGCACCTGATCAACTGCGTCAAATCTCAAGTAGATGCGATCATAGACACTGCGCGATTAACAAACACATCGTCGTCGTCCTCTGCCCGTCCGGACGCACCACCGCAAGATCGCTCCGGCAACGCGCCACCTTCAACATCAGAAGACCCAAAAACCTCATACCCCACCTCTGTGATGAGAAGAGAAGGACAATTTATTTTCGCATTTTTCATTCCTAAATATGGACTTATCATTTTCCTTTTCCCACCTTTCCTTTTCCAAAGTCACGTGACCTTCAGTGGCAGCAGTACAGCATCATTGACACTGCCCTGCACTGCCTTGCACAGCCTTGCACAGCCTTGCACAGCCCTGCACAGCCACCGGAGTTTTGTTCCGCTTACTCATGAACAATGACTCGTTATTCCTTCTAACTCCTTGATTCATAATCCTGACCCACCTAAGTGGGTCGGTCTTACTCATCCTTGTGCCCTGCATGTGATTCTCTTGTACTATTCTTGGACCATGGATTTGTGTATATAAGACCCCTGTAGCTCGCCCTAAGTCCCCATCTCGACCTCTTGTGTCTTGGGGACTTAGGTGAGTAACCGTCT